TAATAACTTTATTTAACCTAATATATCCAAACTATCATCACTTGAACATGAAATCAACATATAGGCATTGATGTGTTATTTTACCTAAATCCTCCAAATCCAGTGTACATTTGACATGACAGTTCATCTTGATTAGAACCCTTCATGTTTTAAGGGCTGGGATGCCACGTGTGACCTGTGGCTACCTTGTCGGAAAGCCAAGGTCTACATAGCTTATCTATATTAACTCATGTCCCTTCACCAGCCTACCCCCACGTCATAGACGGGAACACTGAGAAAGTTTCAGAAATTGCTCAAAGAGCTAGCAGTGACTCAAACCAGTCTGTATGGTTCCAAAGGGTACCCTCTTCAGCTATCATTGCTTGTCCTCAATTCCAGCTCTTAGGAGCATTACCGTCAGCGGGTCCCCGTCACACCCTGGCTACCCACTTGCAAGCTGGATTTCCTACATGTTTGCTCGCTCTCTCTGAAACTCAGAATCTTCATCTGAAAATAGGGACAATGGCAAATAAGCCAAAGCTGATGGATGCTTGAGAGCTAGGCGCCATCCAGGGGACACTCCTCAGAGAGGCTGGTGCCCAGTCAACCCTGGATATACCTGAGGCATTTTAGTCATTGCAATTTCTTCACCCACCGAAGAAATTGAACCGAAACCCAAACAAGTAACCCAGTTTTCACACATATTGCATTCCTGGAAAAGCATCACAGCTGATTTCGCAAAACTCAAGCAATAGATTTCTGTACTATAAAGAACATTACATTTACTAAAGACTACACAAATTATGAAATCTAAATTACTTCTCATTTCTCAGATGTCATTGCCAAAGATCTACTTCCAGGGTTTTGTGTGTTATTTTTTAAAATAATTGGATCCATCTCGTTGTGTATTATTTTGTTCTGATTACAAAAATGATAGATACTTTATGCAAAAACAAAAAATCAATTGTTGCAGAAATATGTGGAAAGTAAAGGTGAAGTGGAGAAATCCACAGGCAGAAAAACACACAAATGGATTACGTGTGTGCCCTGGGAGGGGGAATTCACCCAGATGCCCCAGTGTCAAGGTACAGAAAATGAAAGAAATGGTCAATACAGCAGATTAACGCTTTAGGCTTTGCTGACGTGCCCTCCATAAAAGTCCAACCAGGAACACCCTCGCCCCAGGTTTGGGACATTTCTTGCTTCCTTGTACCTTCTGGGCATTCCCAATCTTCTTCAGCTAATTAAAATGAGGAATAAATTGCCTAGATTGTGAAAATAAAACACAATTCACTTGTGCCTACTTCCTTAAGTCTCGAAGGGTCAGGCAGGTGGTCAAGATTTGCCAGTTTGGACAAAAGCTTCACCTCTTCACTCACCAACCTACCTGCCCGCACCCACCCTCACCTACCCTTGCTGCTAAGCCCCAGTCATGTCAGCCTTTAACTTCCTATAGTGAACTGAAGTTACTTCCCACCTCAAAATCTTTGCACACGCTGCTCCTTCTTACCTTCACCTCTTCACCTGGGCAATGTCTGCTCGTCCTTCCAAGGGATCTTGGTCAGGTTTTTTAATCTATTTTCCCATTCTCTTTTCCCCCACTTCTAATAATATTGCCCTTTCCTTAATGTTTCCATAAGGGCCATACAAGATGCACTGTTTAAAACACTTGGCGCAGTGTACCAGAAGATGTGAGGATTCCCGCTCAAGGGGCTCCTCTTCCAGCAAACCCTGCTTGACCCCCTGCCCAAGTCAGGTTCCCATTTATTATCCTTTTTCATGGATTTTTCAATTTCTTATTTTTAGCATAGCCTATAAACATAGTTCAATAATAACTTACATGGTCATCTGCTTGGTTTTCTTTTCCCCTTAAGCTCCACAAGAGCACTTGATATCTATCTGACAAATTAATAAATGGGTGGCTCTAATGGGCTACATCTTTCACTAGATTGTGCCAAAGTGTTAGAGCTACACTTCCTATCATGGTTACCAGCACATTTATTTTCTCTCTTCCATGTCTTTTTATAAAGACAAAGGATAAATGAATACACCACTCCACAAATAAGTCACACCTGGCCAGATCAAAGCAGCTCCACAAAGCTCAAACAGAACTCTTGGTGAGTAGGCAGCGCCCCCGTGTGAACGCTCTGGGTATTTTTCTGTCCAGATGCCAAAATTCGATTCTCTGGTTTTATCTAGTTTGTCCTTGCTGGCCAGTTCACTCTGCACCTTCTCCACACCCTCCGTGCCCTGAGAGGCTCACCGCTTCCACCTGCTCACCTGTCCCCTTGCCTTCTGCTGTAGCCAGTGAGGGGCTCTAACAGGGAACAAAGGAGAAAATGTGGAGAAACTATTCTGTGACCAGAACACACAGATTATGGCAGCAAGAAGTGATGCTATGTGACTTTGGAGGCTAGATGGCAAAAAGCTGAGACTTCTACTTGGCTTTCCCTTTCTTGAATCACTCTTTCTGGGGAACTAGACTGAAAAGGAGGAAGCAAGGTATTCCACCAACTACCGGCAGCCACGCTACCCATGTGAATCACCTCAGAAGGAAATTATACAGCCCCTGTCAAACCTTCAGGTGACTGCAGCCCCAACCAACCTCTTCACTGCAGCTTAATAGAGACAGACCCTAAGCCAGTAAGCCCAGAAAATTCACTCCTGGATTCCTGGATTCCTAACCCCAAAAAAAACTACGAGGCAACAAGTTCTTGTTATAAGTCGCTAAGTTTTGAGATAATTTGGGATTACTAGAACTAGTACCAGGGTCTCAGGCTCCCTCCTCAGAACTGTCACTTGCTGTCAGCTCTTCCCCAGAACTCCTTCAGTTCTTCGCCAGCTGTTCCTTCCCGCAGCCTTCCTTGAACCTCTTTACCGATCTGCCCATCCCAGTTCATTTGTCATCCTACCTCTTATTTCCTGTTGCATTATATATTCCTTCCTTATCCTTCTCCCCACTAGCATGCCAGCTCTTTGGGACAGGAATCTTTATTTGCCATTCTGTTCACGCTGCCCAGAACAGTGCCTGGCACAGAGTAAGCACTCAATATAGAAGTGATTATTCTGAGAAATATAGCAGGCCTGGCTTGTTTGGGACAGGATCAGACTCCCACTTGTTTCCTGCCCACTGAGTGCCCACCCTAGCTAAGGGACAAAACATAGCTATGATTTTTCCCTCCATTAGGTAAAGAGGAACGGGCAGGTATGGTGGGAGAGCCCTCCTTCACCTCCCTCACTTCCCTCAGGCTAACAGCCCAGTGCCTCTGTGCAACCTACAGTATCCTATTCCCTGCCTAAAATTACACCTTTCTGTTACAAAGAACTAGAAACTGCTTAGGTTCACTAATAAGAATACTCTCCGGACAGGAATGCATAGAACATACAAAGTTTTGGGGTTCATCTAGAAAACACTTGAGCCTCTGCATTTTTAATGTCTGTTTTTGGTTTGCTGAAGAATAGCTTTACGTAACTAATGTTATAAAATAACCTACAGGCTCTTTTGGTGCAACTGTATTTGTAAACAATTCATAAATAAATCTTCCTCTGAGGGTGGAACTCCAACATTTTTACTGAGATGCTACTTGATGTCCTACAATATGCAGGGTAGCCCCGTGGCAAAGAACATCCAGCCCAAAATGTCAGTAATACAGGAGTTGAGAAAATCTGGCTTAAAGCATCAGACACTTACTCCTGGGGTCTTTGCCAGAGCTGCTTCCTTCTCCCCACTATGTTCCTCACCTATTTAGGACCTCAAAATCTGGTCCCTTCTGGTGGCACATACTGTAAAGCTGTCTGCAGCCAATACAGCACAAGTTTGATTCCCAGCAGGGGAGCTGACCCACATGGTGCAGCAGACCTCTCCTGACCCGCCAGCTGCTCCCCTCAGTAGTGTATTTCAGTGGTCCACCAGTTCTGCTCCTCACTCTGTCTCTGGTGAATCCTCTCACACTCCCCCAGCCCCCACACCTCTGGTCTGCACCCCAGTTCTTCTATACATAAATAAATCTTTAAAAAAAAAAAACTCAAACGTCAAGGACTCTATATAGAGCTGTCCCCTTCTCCAAGAAATCATCGCTGGCTCCCCCACGCTGAGCCAGAGTAGCTCCTAAGGAGTTCACCAGCCCCAAACACACACACACACACACACACACACACACACACACACACTGTGTGGGTTACAATTGTCCCGGGAAACATTATAAAACTTTTGGATTTACAATATATATTCCCTGAAACCCCAGATTCTGGTAGGGACTGGAAATCCTTATTTTTTTTTTTAAGATTTATTTATTTGTGCATACAGAACTGGGGTACAGGCCAGAAGCTCAGGGGCTGCGAGAGGCTTCACCAGAGACAGAGTGGGGAGCAGAACAGGCAGATCGCCGAAGTACACTGCTAAGGGGAGCAGCGGGCGGGTCAGGAGAGGTCTGCCGCGCCACGTGGTCACCTCCGGGCCAGGTGGGAATCGAACTCATGTGGAAGTGGCTTTAGCTTCTTAGTGCAGTGCTTTAACCCGCTGTGCCACCAGGGAGGACCCAGAAATCCTTATTTTTAATAAGCCTCTCTCCCCTCCCTCCACCCACCTCATCACTGCCTGTCTGCCCCTTCCCACCAGCACAAAAGTCGTCCAATGACTGAGTGCCTTGGCGTTCAAAGAGCCATTAAGTGTTTTACCCAAGGTCTGGAACCCAGACACACATGCACGCGCGCTCGCACTGCTAGGTCTGTTACTACGCAAGCACGTCATTCCCATTTTACGGAGAAGTAAATTGAGATTCAGGAGGGGAAGTGTCTGGGTTAAAGAATCAAAGAAAGGAGCCCTGGTCCTAATGAGCGCCAGATTCCTGAAGGAAGGAGGAGAAAGCTCGTTAACTAGGGGAGCGCCATCTGGGATTGGGGGGAACGCGGAGACTCGTCGCAGCCAGCGATGCTGCCCCGCCCCCACGAGGGACGTGAAGACGCGGACCCCGCACAGCGTGGGGACATGTGACCGACTGCAGAGGCCGCGCCGCCACCCCCGCTCGAGGTCTGCGCGCTCTGCTGCAGGGTGCAGACCCCCGGCGTCGCAGTGTTTTGGGGCGCAAGAGCAGAGGCGGAGACAGGGAGGAGCCAGAGCGCCTGGAGCACCCACCCGGAGAAGCGAAAGCGAAACAGGGGGCCAGGAGGGAAGGGCGGAGTCAGCCTGAGGCCCCGCCCCCTGCCCTGCGCGGCTGCTGGACCGCCGGGCGCGCCCTGGTAGGGGGACGCTGATCGCGCAGTGCAGACCCTCTTAGGGACCTGCGCCGCCGCCGCCGCCACCATGTCTCAGGAAGGTGTGGAGGTAGGAGATGCCCACGGCTGGCCCGGGGTCCCGCGAGAGATGCTGGGGATGAACCGGGGGCACGGGTGGGCTTCGCAGTTCCTGGGGACTCCATCTCAAGCCCAAACCTTCTCCCAGACGGGTACTTGCCCCCTTTGGCAAGGAGAGCGACTGCCACATCCCCCGGAGCAAGATGCGGCCTCCCCGAGGAAAAAAAAAAAAAAGGAAGGCTGCGGGGTCAAGGGTCAGAGGCCAGGAATTACCTGGCCGCTTCCTCCCCTTAGCCTGGGACGTGAGCCGCAAACCGCTCCTACCCCTTCAGTGCCCCCATAGGGACTTAGGCTTTTTCCAAGAAATGCGGTTGAGGGATGGAGAGTGCAGGATGCGGAGGCCAAAAGCAAGGGTCAGGTTCACGGGAGAAGATACCTAGAGATGGGGAAGGGGCAACCTTCCCTCTCCTCCATCTGAAATCCCTATCCCCAACCCAGCTGGAAAAAAGCGTCCGACGCCTCCGGGAGAAGTTTCATGGGAAGGTATCCTCCAAGAAGGCGGGGACTCTGATGAGGAAATTTGGCAGCGACCACACTGGAGTGGGGCGCTCCATTGTGTACGGTGAGCGAACTGGGGTCTTGATCTCAGGTGGGAGTACCAAAGGGGGAGAGGAGGTGGTGCGGTGGGGGCGCTGTGTGCTGAGGGTTGGAAACAGGTCTTGAGATCATCTCTTGGGGAAGATCTGTGTTGGAGTTTGGGACCCCGAAACTCCCACAAGATCCTTCAAGAGCCCTTTATTATGTAACAACTTTAATAACTTTTACTGAGGGTCTTTCACTTACTCTCCCCACCAGGGGTAAAACAGAAAGATGGACAGGAACTGAGTAATGACCTGGATGCCCAGGTAAACTGGCCCCCCTTCAAAGGACCAGGTAAAGGGGGAGGGAAAACAGGAGGAACCTACCCCATTCGTGGTAAATCCCCTTGAACACGACCAGTTCACAACTGGTGATCCCACCTCATTCCCTTATTCACCTCTCAGTCAGAGACTCAGCCAAGGAATCTGCAAACAGTGAAACTAGGCAGTGAAACACTCAGGATCAATGTCATCATACAGGGGCCCTAGAGGTCAGTGAAGCTTCCTGGAGGAGATGGCACCAACTCTTCAAGGTTGGGCAGGAGTGATCCTTGGGAAGGGGAGGGGCTGGAAATGGGTCTTCTTAGAAGAGGGAGAGGTGTGAACAAAGGGACAAGCAGGCTGGCTGAGATGGAGGGGGGAGAATAAAAGCGCAGGGAGCCTATGTGATGAATGAATGGATGGATGGATGAATGATGTTGATGCACAAGAGCAACATGGCCACTTTGCCATGAATGAATGAATGAATGGAGAGGGGGGAGAAGAAAGGCACAGGAAGCCTATGTAATGAATGAATGAGAGAATGAGTGAATGAAGTTGAAGCATAGGTGCAACATGGCCACTTTGCCCTGAGATGCCTTAGGTGGCTGGTACACTGGATTTTGCCTGTCTGAAAGGTATGGTACACAGTTGTTAAAGTTGTTACATAATACAAAATGTGTATTACATTTATAGATATGAAGAGTATGATAAAAATAATAGCAAAGAGTAACTTTAAGCACTTCCCTTGGGGCAGGACTCTAGGAATTCTTTTGATGTATTTCATCACCACAGCAACCCCATGAGACAAGTCCTACTATTTATCCCCCCATTTTACACACAGGGAAACTGAGTCACTGAATGAAATCACTTGCCAGGTTCATGCAGCAAGCGAAGTTAGCTGAAATGTGAGCCCAAGCCTCCTAGAATCAGAGCCTGAGTTCTGAGATGCTCTTTATTAAGAACCCGGGGGAGATTTGGCCATGTTCCCACAGCTGGAGGTGAAGGAGCCAAGGTTCAAACCTGGATCTCTCTGAATCCAGTGTACAAAGCAGCGTCGCCTCAGGGTGTGAGCTGTCACAGTGCCAACAGGTGTGTGCTATCTGCCAGTAGGAAGGGAACATGGGCTCCAGGCCTGCGGTGCCACACTCATGCGGGGGACCTCAGGCAAGCCCTTTCTGAGCTCTGGACCTGCTTCCCCATCTGAAGAATGGAGATGGCAGGTGTGCCCACCTGTCAGGGCTGATAGAACATTAACTGAGATTACCCACCTGGTTCTCAATAAGTAGATGCTACTCAATCATCTCATGAGTTAGGCTCATCTACTTTTACGTGAGGCCAGGACCCTGCCTCCCCTCCACAACCCCCTCCACCAACAAACAAGGGTGAAGAAAGGTCCCAGCTGCATCCCCAGTTTCTGCCCCTGGTGTCTCCACCCAGGACCCACCAGAGGACATGAAGCAGGACCGGGATATTCAGGTGAGTCCAGGCTATGTGGGAGGGAGAGCTGGGAAGATGTCTTGGGAAAGAGGGGGGCATCACTAGGTAAGGAGGGATGTTGGAGGGGCAGGTGGGGGTCAAATATGTGAGAGGAGAAATATGTATGTTGGGAGGAAAGGGATAACTACCCTCTCATCCCCAACTACCCCATTCTACAGGCAGTGGCGACCTCCCTCCTACCTCTGACGAAAGCCAACCTGCGCATGTTTCAACGCGCCCAGGAAGACCTCATCCCTGCTGTTGACCGGCAGTTTGCCTGCTCTTCCTGTGACCATGTCTGGTGGCGCCGGGTGCCCCAGCGGAAGGAGGTGATAATCTAGCCCCTGACCTTGATTTTGTCCCAAACTCAGATCCCCAGCCTCACTGTCTGCACTTCCAAATATCAACTTCTGAGCCCAAATCCTGACCTCCCTCAGAGCTCAACCTCTATCTCAGACCCCACACTCCAACCCAGAGCTTGGACTTGGAACTTTGAGCAGCTCAGTGGGTGCCTGAACCCCAGAGCCTGAACTCTGACTCTACAGTTTAACAGCTACCCCTGAAATCAAACCTAACCCCAAATCTAGCTTCAGAACCCACTGTCCAGTGGTGTGCTCCAAGCAAATTTTTAACCACTATTGTGGAAGAGGCATCCAAGATATGAGAACACCATGGCTAGTATCAAGCTGGGACCAGTATTGACCTCTGTTCCCCTCTCTGCATCTCCAGGTATCCCGGTGTAGGAAATGCCGAAAGCGCTATGAGCCAGTGCCATGTGATAAGATGTGGGGCCTGGCTGAGTTCCACTGCCCAAAGTGTCGGCACAACTTCCGGTGAGGGCACTGACCTCCAGGCCACCCTCTACCCTGCCCTGACCCCAGCCCTGCTCCTCCCTGCCCTGGACCCACCCAGGCCCAGCCTTACCCTTGGATCCTCATGGCCCTACCCACCCCCAGGGGCTGGGCACAGATGGGGTCCCCATCTCCCTGCTACGGGTGCGGCTTCCCTGTGTTTCCGACACGGATCCTCCCTCCACGCTGGGACCGAGACATGGATCGCCGCAGCACCCACACCCACTCCTGCTCAGCTGCTGACTGCTACAACCGGCGAGGTGAGGTCCCAGTGCATCCCAGTGACCTCCCGCATCTGTGGGGCAATGTTCTTGGTCTTCAGTCCTGGGACATGTACCTCTGTGGCCTTAAGAACCAAGGTCTCTACCTGCTTTTTCCATGTTCCTCCTGTGGCCTCCCTGAGGCCACTTCCTCACCCATAGCATCAGCCCCTCCTTCCCTGTGCCTTCCTAAGTCTCCATGGCTTCCAGCGCCAGGTCACCTAGGATACCAACCCCCCTAACACCCGCCCTCCCATAGCATCAGCCACCTTCTATGGTCTTGTCCTTGAAGCGCTATGGTTTCACATCCCATGTTCCCAGAGCTTCTGCCTGTGATCTCTGCGTTCTTGGCTACTGTCTTGTCTCCTATAGTCTGAGGTGATACCTACGATCCTGGGTCTCCTATGGCTTGATACCTGTGATTTTCACCTCTCAATTCCATGTGGAGTTCAGCCCATCCACTTGCCCCCAGAGTCCCGTATGGCCTCAAGGCCATGACATCAGAACCTCTCCCTTCCCAGAGCCCCATGTGCCTGGGATCTCCTGTGCGCACCCCAAGAGCCGGAAGCAGAATCACCTGCCCAAAGTTCTGCACCCCAGCAATCCCCACATCAGCAGTGGTTCCACCGTGGCCACCTGCCTGAGCCAGGGAGGCCTCATGGATGACCTGGACAACCTTATCCTGGAAGACCTCAAGGAGGAGGAGGAGGAGGAAGAGGAGGAGGCCGGGCATGGGGAGTGACCCCTGCTGGGTGCAGATGCAAACCAGACACGGTCTGTGGATATTTTGTGTTGTTATAAAATATGAGCTCAAACTGAGATCTAAATGCCCTTGGGGAGACGTCTGGGTCTGAGATACTGGGGAGTCCTGGGTCCCATTTTCAGGGCCCTGGGTAGCAGATCCACAATGGAAAGGTCAGAGGGACATAGCCCACATAGGGCCACAGAGGAGGTATGGCCAGGAGAATGTGAGTTCTTGCTGACAAATGTCTCCTGGGACAGATGGTCACAGCCTCAGGGGCCGGATCAGCATGGCAGTCTTCTTCAGAGAGTAAGCCCCACCGCGAAACTCAGCCCAGTAGACACCATCCTGATAGCGGCTGCGGTAGTGGCCTCCACGGTGCCAAACGCCATTGAGATTAGAGTGGGCACAGGCATGGTACCACCAGCCTCCTCGCTGGTACAAGGCGCAATTACCTGAGGGGAGAGAGAGTCTGTGTCCTCTCAGCAGAATAAAAGCTACCAGCACTTCAGTAGTGCAAGGCTTTTACCAAGCATCCTTTGGCCCTTTCCACTCTTATTGAAAATAAGCCTTGATCCACTATCCCCTCACCAAAATAAGAATCCTGGCTTCTACTTTCTTTTTCAGAGTAATAACTTAACTTCTATTCTCTTATCAAAGTATGAATCACACCTCTCCCACCCTCTACAAACTAGGAGCTCTAACTTGAGTTCCTTTATTGGGGGTTGGAGGTTTGGGGGGGGGGGAAATAAGGGGACCATCTCTGTTTTCTTTCTCTTAAATGCTAGTTAGCTGGCCTTTTGACCGAACTGGAGTTCTGACTCATTACCTCATCAGAGAAGGAGTCTGGGCACTCCATCCTTTAACCAGAATAAAAGTCCTCACCTCTGTTTACTTGCTTAGCCAGATCCTCACCAGAGGGAAGGCTTACTCTACTCCCTTTCAATTCCTCACGCCAGGCCTCCCACCTCCCTTAGACACCTCCCACCAGAATAAGAGCACTCTTTACCAGAATAAGAGTCTCGGTCCCTATCCACGGTGCTGAAAGGCTTGTCATTGTGCCAGGAAAGAGAGTCTCCAGCATCTCCATGGTACTGGCCTAGCCTTAGACGGTAATGGTCACTCTCAGCCTCCAAGGAGAAGCCATCATAGTGGGCGCGTGCCCCACGACCCCCCCAATCCTCTAGGAGTACCAGCAGCTCATGGTCCCCACGTCTGGTCAGTTGATGCACAGGTTCAAGGCCCAGCCAGTATTCTCCATCTGGCTGCCCAAAACCCACCTAGCAGGTCAAGAAAGTCAGGAGGTCAGGAACAGGTTCCATCCCCTGTTCATCCCTGCCCCCACCAACCCATACCCACCTTGTAGTGTTGCCAGGTAGTAAAGAAATTGACAGAGCCATCTTGCCGCTTCTGGATCACAGTCCAACCTCCATTTTCCAGCTGTTGCTCACACCATGCAGACACCACATACCGGCCCATTCGCAGCTCATAGATTCCACTCTGCCTGTAGCCTGCCTGGTGGGCCTCTGCACAGTCCCGCCATGGGCCTATGGGCACAGGAATATAGGGAAAGCACAGCCTGGACTGATCAAACAATAGAGTCCTGAGTCTCACTCATCTCCTTACGAGAACAGCAGCCCAGCTTCTCCCACTCCCTCACCAGGAAAAGAGCCCAATATCCATTTCCTTATCTGACTAAAACTCTGGTCCACTCGTCTCTCACTGGAATCTGTGGTTCTTAAATCCTGATGCTATGGTCTCCTTACCAAAACAGAAATCCTGAAAATGTCACTCTAACCTAATTCATATTACAACCAAAATAACAGTCTTAAATTTACTGTTCCCTCAGGAAATAAGAATATCTTCTTCTGTTTTCACACCCTAGTGAGAATCTTGGTCTTTGCCAGAGTAAGAGCCATCGCACCCCATTCTGTCACCAGAATAAAACTATCAGTTCCTCCAGTTCTCTCACTATGAGAGGACTCTGCCACTAAAATCCTGACTCCTGTTTCCCTCTGCTCATACTGCATTGGGAACCCCCCCCCAGCTCCTTTTGCCTCTGACAGCCCTGCCCTCATCTTACCCATCGTCTTGGTGGGGCTAGCAGGGTGCCCTGCAGGCATGGGGGAGGCCAAGGGCCCCTGCTGCCTGGAGGTCTGGTCACTCTGGGGCTCTGGGACTGGGTCTAGCCTCCTGCTGGTTTCACTGGTGCCTCCCACCAGACTGACTGGAACCACCGGAACCAGGGGTGGTGGCAGGACCTGGGGTGACCAAGAGTCAAATGTGATTGCACTAACCCTTGTCTATAAGGCTCCTAACCCTCCCTAGTCAGATGGGCCAGACATCAGGCAGAGGGCTTTGATCCTCCCCAAATCCTAATTAACTGTCAAGGGTCGGACTTAAATTCTCACTCTGGTCCACATCTTATGCTCCCTTTCAATACAGTAGGTTTGATAATCTGAGTGTCTCCAAAAATAAGTAGTAACTTCCAACGACCCTTTAAGACAGACTATCACAGAACAAACATTTCTTATTCAAAATCCAAAGTCAATCAGACATGTTCCGGAATTCTGCATAGTGTGGCAGGAATTAGAAACAGTAATGTATGGACTCTGTGTACATTAAATACCACGGGTCTTCATTCACCTAACAGGCCTGATGACAGCATTCTATGAACAGCCACATGAAGTGGAGATTTTCAAGTAGCCCCCGGTCGTGTTTTGACCCAAATGAGTTATGGAAGGCGAGGCAGGATTCTGGTTTGGGGAGCTTTTCGGATTTCGGACCTGCTGGCAAGACCTACTGGGGCAGCAAAGGCCCATCCCACGGATGATGCGCGCGGAAAGTGCTGTGCTTCCGAGCGGGCATCCGGGTTACCTGCTGCTGCTGCTGCCCGCCCGCGCCCGCAGTGCACAGGCGCTCCAGGCGGGCGATGAGGCCGCTCTGCTGGCTGACCAGCTGCGCCATCTCGCGAAACTTGACTTCCAGCTGGTGGAAGCGGGCGGCCGCGCGCCGCGCCTCCGCTGGCGCGTTCAGCACGCGCTCCCCCAGCAGCGACAGCGCCGCGGCGGGCTCTGCCCGGGGGCCCGGCTCCGCCCCCGCCTCGTGCTGCAGCTGCGCGCGCAGCTGACCCAGGCGCGTGCTCAGGCCGCGGCTCTCCTTGCGCAGTGCGCGCACCTCCCCGGCCACGGCGCCGTCTGCCGCCGACAGCCGCTGTAGTTCGCGCAACAGCTCTTCGTGGCGGCCCACGCGCACGCGCAGAGCCGCTACCTCGCTGGCGTTCACGGCTTCGGGTGCCGGGCGAGTGACCGCCGGCCCGCTCCAGCACACTGCTCCAGTGAACTTCTGCTGGGGCAGCACGAAGGTGTAGGTGCAGCGCGGGGCGCCTGCCCGCGCCCACGACGCGCCCAGTAGGAACAGCAGCTGCAGCGTGTGCAGCTGGGACGCCGACATGGCGGACCTACAGGCGGAGGACAAACAAGTGAAAAGGGGGCACCAACTCTCGAGCACCCACTCTCATCACGGCCCAGTCCTACCCGCTCCCACGTGGGAGAGCCAGTGTCTACACCTGCGTGACCCTGGATTCACCACATGCCGCCTCCATCCCTTACCCCCACCCTACACTTTACACACCCGCACACCCCTTCCCACAGCTGGAGACACCCCAGTGGGACCCAACTCTGGCCTCTCCACGGAATTTTAAGGAGGCCTGCTGGACAGCTTCCTTGAACAAGCTTACTGTGGCTTACTGTGGCTTACTGTGGTGTGCTGGCCTCAGTTCTAGGCGCAGGGGATACAGTCAGGAACAACACAAAAATACCAGCTCTGGTGGACAAGGAACAAAATAAAGAATTAATACAGTGTAATAGATGCATTATGTGCTGGGAAAAAAAAACAAAAACAGTAAAGCAGGAGAGAAACTGCAATTTTGAGAGAAGCAGGCCCCCCGGAGGAGGAAAAGAAGCAGTGTGAGTGTTTGCGGTAAGATGGTGTCCCAGGCAAGTGAGAAGTGCAAAGGCCCAGAGGCTGGAAACTGCCTGCTTAAGTAATAAAGGAAATGGAGGGGCTGGAGCAGAAATACGGGAGAAGCAGTGGGAGCATGGCATATGGGATGGAGTCTCATTCAGTCCAGGAATGGACGCTCCGTGTTCTCCAAACCAAAACCCCACAGTTAGCCATGCTTTTCTTTATAAAAAATTTTTGTGTGTATATCTACATATCTATTTGTTTGTTTATTTATTTACTTATTTTTATGTAGAAGAGCTGGGGTGTAGGCCAGAAGTCGGGGTGTGGGGGAGGATTCACCTGTGACAGTGGGGAGCAGAACAGGTGTACTGAAATACACTGCTGAAGGGTGCAGCGAGTGAGACAGGAGAGGTCTGCTGTGCCATGCGGGTCAGCTCCCCTGGGATTGAATTCAGGCCCTAGTGTTGACAACTCTGAGACTTAACCTCTAAGCCATCAGGGAAGCCTTGTTTATTCGCCAGTGTTTATCATCAGCAAATCCAGTCCCTATGCTAGGACTTCTGTTTAGACCCCAGATTCCTTCACATCCCACATCCCACTATCATGGTTCCAGCTCTAGACACCATTTAGATTTCTTTATTGCTTCTGTCTCCCAAGTCTCCAGTCTTTCCTCTACAGCCTCTGGCTATTTCTCTTCCAATGGCCAGAAAAATGCCTATGAACACCCAAGTCAGCTCCCTTCCCTTCACATTCTAAAGAAAAGCTCAAGTCCTCCCACAGTCTGAAGGCACACCTCCACCCGAGGTGTCTGTCTCACTGATCCAGGCATGCTGGCCTCCTTGTCATTCCTCAGACACACCCGGCACAGTCCTACCTCAGGCTTTTTGAAATGGCTGTTTCCACACCTGGAACATCCTTCCCCAAATACAGATCTCAGCTCAGCTGTTCCCCCAGAAGCCTCCCTGACTATCCCATTTAAGTCTGCTGCTCCCAGACACTCACTATCAAACATGTTTTTCACTGTGAAAATAAATGCCTTGTTTATTCGCCAGTGTTTATCATCTGAATCCCACCATTGAAACAGGTTGAGTCTGGATTTGGTTGGCTACTCTATACCCAGTGCCTAAAACAATGCCTGGTGCCACACATGCACCCCAACATGCATCCTGAGTGCACTTGCCAATTCTCAGAACATATTACATTTATCCACACATCACCCATCTTAGTTCAAAGCCAAGATCCACTGAGTCCCAAGCCCCAGTCCTGGTCTCCACAAATCCTATAGTCATTATAGTCACACATATCCTCATTCAAATGTGCAACAAATATTCCTTCAACATATATTGTGTGCCAAAAGCTGTCCCAGAGCATCTATTGTGTGCCAAAAGCAGTGGGAACACAGCTGTGACCAACACACAAAATCCTGCCCTCATGAAGGTGACATCCTGGTTGGGAAAACAAATGGTGGGTAGGGTGGAGGGTGATTAGTGCTTAGGAGAAAACTCAAAGAGGGAAGCGGGTGTCTGTCAAGGTGGGGGGTGGCATTTTAAATAAAGGGATTAGGGCTCACTAAGAGGACACCTCAGCAAAGATAAAGATCTAAAGGGGAAGAGAAAGGTGAAGAAAAGCATTCCAGGCAGAGGGACCAGTGAGCGCAAAGGCCCTGAGCTGGGATTGATATTCCTAAGGAACAGCAAGGAAGCCTCTGAGGCTGGGACAGAGTGAGCAAGAAGGAGAGTGGGGCGGTGAAGTCAGAGAGGGGTCTGGTGGAGAGGGCAAGGTCTTGTAAGCTGCAGCGGAGACTAGGGCTTTTCCTGGGAGTAAGGTGGGAGCCAGGCAGTGTTCCGAGAAAGGCACATTAACTACAGTAGGCACACAAAGAAGGTACCTCTTCTTACCTACCTCAAAGACAGCAGAGGTCCCCACAACAGAAAGGGACAGTCCCCAGGAGAGTGTGTACGCAACATACACTGTTTTCAAAGGTCTCAGTTCGGGAGGAGGCGCAGTCTGGGGGTACCCACTAGCTAAACTGAGGCCCAGGCCGCCCAACCATCAGAATCAGCCTCCACCAGCCCTCCCACCCGCTCACCTCTCACAACCAAGACCCTGTGTCCAGTGGGGCTCTCGGCTGGTGCCAAAAGTCTGGTTTGGAGCCAAGGGTCTGGCAGGGGTCTCTGAGCTGAGGAAGGGGAGAGGCCAGTAGGAGAGAAGGCGGGAGGAGGCTTGGGAACTACCCCCACTCTATGGAGCCTGGGACTAGAGCCCATGAGCTCCAACTGTAAATATTTAGCATTTCCCATGTGAGAGCTGAAGCAGAATTGCCAGATCCCCGCTGCCCAGGCCACCAGACCCTGATAACACAGGTCAGTGCTCTGGATATTCCCCCCACAGTGGAGCACAGAGCGTGGGAGGCTACACACTGGGGAGGAGAAGGACACTAGACACTCATTCACAGAAAACAATCATCAGGAACATCAGTGGGACTTGTGGTGTGCCAGGCTGGCTCTGAACTCTTTACACCTTTTATATCATTTAATTTTCATGTGCAGCTGACTTTTGTGTGGAGCCTCATTTTACAGCAGGAAAAACAGAGCCTTAGAGTAAGGAATGAACCTCCGGTCACACAACTAGAGGTGACCGAGGTCTCAGTTCACTCAGTTCAGGTAACTGGGCTTTAGAATTTGCACATGTGTATCACGACAGTCACACGCATGTACTTGTGCCCTTAACAGTGCAGATACAGAGAAAAACATAGGGATACCTAAATCACTGCACACAGCACTGCAAAGATAGATGTGTGTGTGTGTGTGTGTGTGTGTGTGTGTGTGTGTATCTCTGTTGTCAGACTTGCCTGGCACATACATACAATCACGACACTACTGGGGACAGCAACTGTGTGTTCAAAATATGTTCACATACACGTACCACTTAAAGGAAAATACCTGTACAGACCCAGGTACAAAGGGTCACACGGTAGCCTGCACAAAGTCACAGACCAAATACATACAGACACCCTGACACCGCCTGCTCACCACAGCTGTACATTTCCATTTATCTCCCACACATTGTTACATCCTTACACAACTTAAATCATGCAGGAACAAAAACAGGCAAAGTAACCATGCAGTCACCTTGCAGAGTTACAAAAAGACTCACCTAGAACTCCCGGGAGCCCTGGCCCAGGATCTCTGGATTGTACAAAAACGAGATGACACACACTTGGAGAGCAGTCTCCTTCCCCCAGTTCTTACTGTCCTGAACTGGAAAACCAAGATGACTCCTGGCCTAAAGAGGAAATGGCCGTCTCAGATCTGAGGGAGGCTGCCAGGCTCCCCGCCTAGGCTGGGCGCCCTCCCACACACACACACTGGGTCCCCAGGCCCCCAACTCCAATTTCCCCCTTGGGCAGCAGAAAGAAGAAACCTCTTAAATTGCAGAGGAGAGCTGAGAGAAGAAAGAGCAAGTCAGAGACACAGAGGAGAAAGATATGGGTGAGATGGGGAGAGAAATGAGGAAATCAAGGAGAGAGAGGAGACAAGAGAATTAAGGATCCAGACACACAGAGAAGAAAAAGATGGAAATTTATAGGCGAAGAAAAATACAGTTGGTGTCAGGGTTGGGGGAGGGGAGATGAAGTCCAGCCTAGAGAGGGAGAGGAAGCTGGGAAGAGGAGAAAGAATTGGGAAGGGGAAACGAATGGGGGAAAGGAGGCAGTTGAGGAGGAAACAGTTTGGACAAGGAGAGAGATGTTGGGGGGAGTCCTTCTCCACCCACAAGGTTCTGGGGTAGAAGCCAGAAGCCCAAAGCCAAGACTGGGGCTTTCATCGGAAAGCAGAAGGAGGTGAATTATTCACAAAGCGCAAATCCTGCCCAGAGTTTCCAGATGATGTGGAGTTTCCATCTCTCGGTCAATCTGCACGCAGGGCTCCCAGGTGAGGACAGCTGACCCGCAGGGGCCGGGGGCCCACGCGAAGCAGCTACCCTATGCTACCCTACCCCACCTTTGGTTGCCTAAGTGTAGCCTATCTCTCTTAATTCGTGGGTCAGAAAGGAAAGAATTACCTCTTTCACTTTAGACTATTTTAGGGACAAGGAGAAGGGAAATGGTTCTCAAAAATCGCAGTAGGAAAAATTGCCCAAGGTGGGATTCGAACCCACAGTTCATTTCTCCAAAGTTCGCACGGGCCCCAGAAGGCTGCGCGGCTCCGCCCCAGTTTCCGTAGAAACATGCACCATAGCAACAGCTGTCTCCATAGCAGCCTCTCCGAAGTTTTTTTCAGCGGGCTGGCCAGACGCACCGCCTGTCTGATGACGTCACCGATGGGCGGCACCTCACGTGATCGCTTGGTCCGCGCCGGAAGTGAGCTGAGCGGCGCCGGAAGGACACTGTGGTGGAGACCTCGTGGAGGACGCGGCGGGATGGGGCAGTCAGGGCGGGTGAGACGCGGCGGTGGGGTAGGCGGGTGGTGCGGTTGGGGTCCCTGAGGATCCCCCTGCGGCGCTCACTGCTCCCCCTTCACCCTGGCAGTCTCGACACCAGAAGCGCGCGAGAGCCCAGGCGCAACTCCGCAACCTCGAAGCCTACGCCGCTCAGCCGCACTCGTTCGTGTTCGCTCGGGGCCGCGCAGGTCGCGGTGTCCGGCAACTCAGCCTAGACTTGCGGCGGGTCATGGAGCCACTCACCGCCACCCGTCTGCAGGTCTGCACCACCCGGCCCACTTCCCTTCACCCCCGACTGCCATCGCGGCTGCCTGGCTGACTCCAGCCTCGACTCCCGGGCTGTAGAAAGGGACTTTGATGAGGCCCATTGACCCTGCTCTCGGCGTTGTACGAGAGCACGGAGCGCGCGCAGATGAGTGCCCTCTACTTGGGAACTGACTGGGTATCGCTAATGGTGAAGCGGAGATTAAGAGTTAAGGAAGCTCGATAGCAAAATTAACTTCTCCCAAAGGGACGGAGCAAGCCGCCTAACCTTGCTGGGCCTCAGTTGGCTCATCTGCAGAATAGGGAGATGCACAGTAAGCAAAGAGATTGTTACCTCTACTTTCTGCTCACTCAAGGCTTGTTTCTGGTTATCCCTTTTTCTTTTTGAAATTCCCAGGTACGGAAGAAAAACTCTCTGAAGGATTGTGTGGCAGTGGCCGGGCCCCTTGGGGTCACACACTTCCTGATCTTGAGCAAAACAGAAACCAATATTTACTTTGTGAGTGGTCCCCTGCACCCTTCATCTCCCCAAAACCTCACTTCTCCCCAACTCTAATGATGAATACATGTGCTTCTGAACTGCTTTGATTCTGGCTTCAAAGTAAACGCTCTGAAGAGATAGGGCAGGGGTTCCCCAGCCTTCTGCTCTAGCTGGACACCCTAGAAATCTCTGATCCTTTTCTTCTGCAGAAACTGATGCGCCTCCCGGGAGGCCCCACTTTGACCTTCCGGATCAATAAGGTAAGGGGTAGTACAAGATCTGTGTGGGTAGGAAGTGGGTTTGGGAGTGATGCTCCCTGTGGGTTGGCCCTCACCACTCCTCATCCTGCTCCACAGTACACACTGGTGCGAGACGTGGTCTCCTCCTTGCGCCGGCACCGCATGCATGAACAACAGTTTGTGCACCCCCCCCTCCTGGTGCTCAACAGCTTTGGCCCCCATGGCATGCATGTGAAGCTCATGGCCACCATGTTTCAGAACCTGTTTCCTTCCATCAATGTGCACAAGGTGAGCTGGATGTGGTGTGGTTTGGAAAGGCACAGCATAGACAGGTTCCTGTTCCCCACATACAGAGGGAGAGGTTCATTAGTATGAGGTTAGAAGCATTGGGGAAGAACTAGATACTTCAGAATGGCTTCAGAACCCCCACAGTGTGTAATCTCTGAAATCAGCACACAGACTAGGTTGTAAGCGACCTCGGTGGGTGCAAGAGCCAGGATTTCTGACCAGTGCCGCAGGCACATCGCAGACATGGGTGCAGTCCATCCATGGATTTTGTGCCCACCTTTTTCCCAGGTGAACCTCAACACTATCAAGCGCTGCCTTCTTATCAACTATAACCCAGACTCCCAGGAGCTGGATTTCCGTCACTAGTGAGTGCTAGAGGGGGAGAAGGGGGGAGCAGGGAATGTCCTGTGTGCAGCTGATGACAACACTGCTCCTGAGACCTTGTGACTGCTCAGTTTCAAAGTAAACGCCCTGACGCACCCTGAAAGAGCTGAGGGGTAAATCTGATTTCCACTCCATAGCCCCTGACTGTGTTCCTTGTTCACACTGGCCCCACAGCAGCATCAAAGTTGTCCCTGTGGGTGCAAGTCGTGGGATGAAGAAGCTTCTCCAGGAAAAGTTCCCCAACATGAGCCGCCTTCAGGACATCAGCGAGCTGCTGGCCACGTGAGGAGAATGTGGGGCAGGAGACCACAGAGCTGTTCCAAATAGCTTGGGATCCCCTCCTGAGCTCCATTTGTCCCTTGCACAGGGGCGCGGGGCTGTCAGAGAGTGAGGCAGAGCCAGACGGTGAGCATAACATCACTGAGCTGCCACAGGCCATCGCCGGGCGAGGCAACATGAGGGCACAGCAAAGTGCTGTCCGCCTCACTGAGGTGAGGCCCCACAGGGCAGGCCCCAGGGTTTCCTCTGGCAGTCCCCACCCCAAGGGAATACTGACACCATTCATGTCCCTGCAGATTGGCCCTCGAATGACACTGCAGCTCATCAAGATCCAGGAGGGCGTTGGGGAAGGGAATGTGCTGTTCCACAGTTTTGGTGAGGCTGGGGCCTGGGGTCTTAGGTCTTCCAAGATGGCCACAAGTGCAGTGGGCACACCAAGATCCAGATCTTGGTGATGATACTGTTGAACTGTCTTTCTGCTCAGTGCACAAGACGGAGGAGGAGCTGCAAGCTATCCTGGCAGCCAAGGAGGAGAAGTTACAACTCAAGGCCCAGAGGCAGGACCAGCAAGCCCAGAACGTCCAACGCAAGCGGGAACAGAGAGAAGCCCACAAGTGAGTGACCTGATGATCAGGCAAGGTGGGCTTCCAGGTATAGGCTGCCACACTGACCAGTGCCCCCTTTCCTACCAGGAAGAAGAGTCTGGCAGGCATGAAGAAGGCAAAGACAGTTGATGGGGACAGTGATGCTGAGGACCCTGGGGCTCCACCAGAGGCAGAAGGGGCTGGCCTGCAGGAAGAAGAGGATGAACTGGAGTATTTCCGTCAGGCGGTGGGCGAGGAGCCTGATGAGGGTACGTGGCAGTGGTCAGTGCAGCCAAGTACCTTGGACCTATTCCAATGCCTTGGTGGCCCTGACACAGATTTTCCCCCACAGACATGTTCCCAATGGCAGCCAAGAAGAGACAGCCCTCCTGGCTCCCAGGCAAAAAGCAGCGGGCAAAGAAACAGAAGCTGGATCAAGGGGGTGACCGGAGGCCTCCAAAAGCCAAGGGCAAGCCCTGGAGGGCTGGCCGAGACCAGAGACGTGGCCAAGGCCACACGCGGCCTTCTAAGAAAGTGCCTTGAGTCTGAGCAGAGCAGCCTGTGGAATGCCCCAGATTGGGGCCTGAGAGACACTACCCTGGACTCCTTCAGTCTCCAGGAACAGCTCTCAGTTTCCTTTCATAAAGGATGTTTCCCCCAACCTCACACTCCAATAAACAACTGGCATCACAGAAGTGTGTCTAGCCTGCATTTGGGATGGTGGGGTCAGGGGCCTTGACCAGGAAATTTGACCTTGTCCCTTCCACCTTGGGTGGGGCCTTGTTAGAGAGGAGAATAATCACCAGAGGACCCTATGTATGTTGCTTTAAGTTATTGGGCCCTTCCCCATCAGGCCAGGCTCCCCCTCCAGGGGTCTAGTGAGGCAGGTCCTAGGCAAGGAGGAAGCTGGGGAAGCCAGTGGTATCTGCCCTATGCTAGTGGGCGTGGTGTGGCGCGGCTGGGAAGGAGGGGCCAGCAAGTATCTGAGAGGGAGGGAAGCACCTCCACCAGGAGTGGGCAGCAGACCTGAAGGCAGGGTGCGCAGGCCATGGCGGCAGCCACCTCAGGTGAGGAGCTGGACCCCTGCAATTTGACCAGGATCATAGTGGGTGGAGGCAGATTAAGAGCCACATCTGGACTTCCTCAAAAAGGCTGGTTATGGAGGGGCGGGTGGAATATGGACACGGGTCAGCAGAGGAAGGGTAGGTGTGCTTCACCCAGCCAGTAGCATACCTGCTGAATTGGGGGTGGGTCTTTCCTCAGCTGAGGCTGGAAGGGTGCAGGAGAGGGAATCGACTAGGGCCCTGCCCTGCTCTCCCTTTAGGCACTGTTCTGGACACGGGAGACCGGGCAGTGACATTCTCCTGGGGGGTTTGCTTGCAGGTTGATGGAGATTTGTGAATGAGAAACAGAAGGGGGACAAGGCACAATGGCTAATTAGTGACTAGAGAGCTAGAGAGCACCAGACCTAGCGGATGGGGAGTCTTAAAGATGGCTGTGATAGTGACTCAGGCAAAAGGGAACAAACAGCCAGTGCAAAGGCCCTCTGGCAGGATGTACCTTGAGAACAGCCAGGAAGCCAGTGTGGGAAGGAAGGAATGTAGGGAGTGTCACTGAGGAAGAGACCTCCTGAAGGACTCTGGAGGAGGGGGGAGAGGGAGGGGCTATGTGTGTGCGTGGTGAGCGCCTGTTTTCCCTCTGAGTCAGGAGTGAGTCTTGCAGAGAACTGACCTGACTTGGTGCTCACAAGTGCTCCCTGGCAGCCATGGGATAAATAGGGGTGGTATTTGGTATACATGTGCAGGAGTTATAGATTCTAAGGCCGTGCTGACCAAAGTGGGGGGCTCAGGTACTGTAAACTGGTGAAGGCAGCGGGAATGGCAGATGGAGTGCACTTGACCTGCAGTGCTATCAGGATTCCTACTTGTCCACGCCAAGCCTGATGCTCAGGGTCATCACCTCCTGGTTATATGTACCCTGCAAGGGCAGTGACCTCCAGGTCTTGCCAAGATTGTTTGAGAGTGCCTAGCACTTTTCTGGACCTGTTTCCCTGTGTAAGGGAACCTAGGCTAACGCCCCTCCAGGGAGTGGGAAGGCTTTGGCCGATGTCTCCATGGAAAGGGCCATACAATATATATTCACAGGCCTGGGGATTCTGGGTCCTGAAAACAGTAGGTGCTGCAGTCATGAGAAAATTCAACCCATGACACTTTCTGCCCACAGGTGCCACAGCCTGTCCAGTCAACATTTCAGCACCTGTTGACCGTACCCTCAGTGACATCCAGGAAAATTTTCTGTGGCCCGTTCTGTTAGCTGAGTTCTTGGTGGCCCTGGCTGGCAATGGCCTGGCCCTATACCGTTTCAGCACAAGGGAGCCTCGCCCATGGCACCCAGTTGTGGTCTTCTTGGTCCAGCTGGCAGTCAGTGACGTGCTCTACGCCCTGACACTGCCCCCTCTGGCTGCCTACTTCTACCCCCCCAAACACTGGCGCTATGGGGAGGTTGCATGCCGCCTGGAGCGCTTCCTCTTCACCTGCAACCTACTGGGCAGTGTCATCTTCATCACCTGCATCAGCTTCAACCGCTACCTGGGTGTTGTCCACCCCTTCTTCACCCGCAGCCACCTGCAACCAAAGCATGCCTGGGCCATCAGCGCTGCTGGCTGGGTGGTGGCAGCCCTGCTGGCGGCCCCCACACTCAGCTTCTCTCATCTGAAGGGGCCACAGCAAGAAGGCAACTGCACTGTGGCTAGGCCCGAGTCTTGTATCAAGTGCCTGAGTTCAGCAGACGACGACAATTTGGAGGCCTACAGAGCCTACAGCCTGGTGCTGGCGACCCTGGGCTGCGGCCTGCCATTGTTGCTCACCCTGGCCGCCTACAGTGCCTTTGGGCATGCTCTGCTGCGCAGCCACAGCATGACGGTGGCTGAGAAGCTGCGGATAGCAGTGCTGGTAGCCAGCGGTGTGCTGCTCTACGCTAGCTCCTATGTGCCCTACTACGTCACCCGGGTGCTCAACATACATGCCCGGCAGCGGTGGAGAGCCCGCTGTCCAGACTTTGTGAACAACACCCAGGCCATGGCAGAGCTGGAGTGGGGGACCTATGTGAGTCACCAGGTTGCACGAGGCCTCATCCCCCTGGCCATCTGCATCCACCCACTGCTCTACATGGCTGTTGCGCCCAGCCTAGGTTCCTGTCGCCAACACTGCTTCAGCTGCAACAAGAGGCAAACCTCAGAAGACTCTAAGAGCCCCAGCCAAGTCCTGTCTCTTGGTGTCATAGCTGGTCCTCGACCCACAAGGCCAGTCCCCTAAGCTCAGACAGTGACCCAGACCACGTGGAGATTCCTCCTCACAAGGTACCCTGAAGCGGGGCCAAGAGCACAGCAGACCCCGAGCCACCACTTCCTCCCCTAAAGGCCTGTAGTGGGACCTGTCCGTCCAGATCAGTGGCAGGAATATCCACCCACAGCCCTAACCCTGAGTAGGGTCAACCCAACTCGGGGCAGTAGAGAGATGGGGAGGGGTGGGTGACAACCATGAATAAACAGGACAGCATAGGGCTAACTGTAGCCTTTTTATTGCCCTCAAAATCTGTTCTCGATGGATGCCTTCTGTCACCACAGGGTCCAGGGGCCCGGGGCCAAGCAGTAGGGCCAAGCAGTAGGCCTGGTTTAGTTGGTTGATGGCCTGTAGGAAACAAAGTAGTAAGAATGGCAGGGTGGCTCCAGACCCCAAAGGGAACCCCAACATGTCCACCACCCGCTAAGAGGGGTTTCCATGCAGGTGGCACTGAGGGCATGACAGTGTGGTGGCACAGGCACAAGTCAGCCTGGAGAGGAGCCCCGCCCTCCTGGAGGGCAGGACCCTCCTTGAGATGCAAAGGGTAAAGCGTCTCAAAACAGGCTTGGTGATTAAGCCAAGCGCAGGGGACCCACGGTCAGCCCGAGTGTCAGATATGACATGGTGATGGGTGGGGTGGGGAGATGGGAACCTTACTTGGCCCATTCAACATTAAGAATGAGGTGATCATAGCCAAAGCCAGACACTCCAGCGATGGCACGTGCAGCATCTTCACGACGGTGGAAGCTGATGAAGGCGAAGCCCTGGGGAGGCAGTGGGGTCAGGGCGCAGCCATAACAGACGGTCCCTCCCACCCCCATGGCCACCAGCCCACCTTGGACTGGCCAGTGGTCTTGTCCTTCGCCAGGTAGATGCGAGAGATGGAGCCAAAGGGCCGGAAGAGCTCTTGCAGATCAGTCTCACGAGTGTCCTCTGACAAGTTGGTGACGCGGATGGTAGCATTGTCGTCCGCTGGGGGCGCAGGGAGACAGTTGTGAGACAGCAGGCCAGGCCCACTCATGAGATAATCGATGTGGAGAGATACCCACCCACTGGCCTGGCACCAGGGTGCCCTCCATGCCTCACCTCTACGGTTGGGCTGCATGGACTCCCCACGGCGGCTGGCCCCATCCCGCAGGCTTGGTGGCACATACTTCCCGGTCTTGTTCTGGGCAGCCTGCACTGGCTCCAGCTCTGGAAATCAAAAAAGCAGTGGGCTTGAGCCTCACCTTGAAACAGATGGGAGGGACAGACCTGCCTGAGGATGCTGGCTACTCCAGTTCTGAGTGCCCAGCACTAACTCAGGCACCATATTTCAAGCCAGGATCAGCCAATTGGTCCCTCCAAGGCCCAGTGACCATGATGGCATAATGGTCACATAGCTGACAACTTTTTCCTTAGGGTTTGAGTTTTGTATAGAAGTACTGGGGTGTAGGCCAGAGATTCAAGGGGTAAAAGGATTCATCAGAGACAGAGTAGTGGAGCAGTGGGCAAGACAGATGAGGTCTGCTGTGCCCTATGTGGGCAGCCCCCTGGCCAAGGGTCAAACTCAGGCCTTTGAGGGGATAACATTGAGACTTAACCCCTAGGCCATCAGAAGGCACCACAGTTAACATCCTTTTAACATAACAGTAGTAGCAAAGGCAGATGGGCAAAACACAAGGATTGACTCAGCCTGAGGTGACCACAGGGCTGAGCTAGTCTCACTCACAGTGTGGGGATAGTTTCAGGTCCCACACATACAGCAGTGACAAGTGAACTGTACACGTAAATCACTGGTGTAGAGATGCTGGATTCAAGTTCAGCAAACCACAGCAAGGACACAGGCAGCAGTGTCACATGGGTATGCTCACAGGTGTGCACTGCATCCACATGGCACACTCAAGTCGGGGTGATCACAGCCTGTATGCATCCCCAAGTACAGTGTGCATGGCACATTTTCACAGCTCCCCCAACAAGCACAAACCATGGTCATGGCCTTACTAGTGTCATGTAGGAAATGACAGCCTCATGTAAAGGGGACAGGCCCACTCACTCAGTAGATGGTAACCCAGAACTCTCCAAGCACACACAATCCAAATCACTCAGCACACAGGTGCGCACGTGCACACACACACGCCTGCCAGGCACATCCCCAGACCCTGGCACCTCCGGGAAGCTTCTCCTTCTCGCCAGTGGACAGGCCCAGCTGCTCAGCCAGCTCCTTCTGCATGGGGCCCAGAGTGTCCTTGTAAGGACAACGGGTGGTCCAGTGGTCACCCTTGCAGATGCGGCATGACACGATCTTCTGGCCCTTGAGCTTGTTCATCGGGTCCTCCTCTTCCTGGCAGTTTAGATCCTGGCAAGATGGGCAGGGACAGCTCAGACAGGGCTGCCACACCCTGCCACCACCGCTCTGGCCACCAGTCCCACCCTCTTGTCCCACATACCTCCTTGCTGGTGATGAAAGTCATGGACACATCATCACTGACTGTGGTGGTAGCCACATTGGGTCCTGGGGGGTCAAACTCTGAGTTTCCAAACTTCTTCCAGTTCTGGGTTGAGAGCAGGATGGGGGCAGGTCAGGGTAAGGGCAAGTGGAACCCTCCCCACTGGCACCCCAGACCTACCTGCAATGGCCTTCCAATTGTCTGGATCTTGAACCCCATTCCCTCCTCAAACACCTATTCACAGTAGTGATGACAATTCCTTTTCCTAAGGATGTGACAAGCTCTAGCTTCAGGCCAATTTGAAGAGGCAGGGGTAGCTTTCAGCTCCATGTTCTAGATGAGGCCTAAGGCCCAGAGGAAAACAGCTGCACATCTAACAACTCTGCCAATGTTGGAAGTGGGCCCATGCAGATTGCAGCTAGCTCCCACCAGGACACATACATGGGAGTGTGAAGATCACTCAGGCTTCGAGGAGCCTTGAATTAAACAACCTGAGTCTCAATTTCCTCTTTGACAAAAAGGGTATCACATTGCCCCCCACCTCCCTGGGGTGTTAAAAAGATTAAATGAAGGCCCCCACCCCTGGTGGCACAGCGGGTTAAAGCACAGCACTAAGAAGCTAAAACCACTTCCCACTGGGTTCGATCCCCACCTGCCCCAGAAGTGACCACATGGCACGGCAGACCTCTCCTGGCACGGCAGATCTCTCCTGACTCGCCCACTGCTCCCCTCAGCAGTGTACTTTGTAAATCTGCCTGTTCCGCTCCCCACTCTGTCTCTGGTGAATCCTCTCACTGCCCCTGCATCTCTGGCCTGTACCCCAGTTCTGTATACATAAATAAATAAATCTTAAAAAAAAAAAAAAAAGATTAAATGAGATGGTATTTCCTGGCAAGCTCTTGGTCCAAGTCTGGCACAGAGAAAGTGCAAATGTTACTTATTGTGACCATTTCTTCTGCTAGGACCATCTCAGGGGAGGACTTAACTTGGTTCCTACTGGTAGACAAAAGGAATAGGAATCTAACCCACCCACTCCTGCACCCTAGGTTTCTCAGGACCCCAACAAAATACAAATAACCCTAGATATCAGTTCTGTTCTGATAAACTAGGTAAACACAGTTACACTCTAGGTCTAAAAATAAAAGTACTAATTAGGAAAAGTAATTCCTAATTCCTTTGAATTAGCTCTGGGGGAGTCCCTAAAATAGGGGGGAGCTAGGTCTTACCTTCCTTCTGGCAACAGCCTTGGAGGCCTTCCGGGTCTCAATCCTGAAGGTGCGGACAATCTGTGGATAGGAAGAGAGATGGGGCTCCCTGCAGCTCAGGGTTCCTGGGCCAGATCTTCCTCATTAACCCAAAACACACCAGCCTCTCCCAGCCAAAGCGCAAGGTATCCACCTTCTCTTCCAGCCTCACCTTGAACTTCTTTCCATCCTCATCTATCTTGTACTCAGTCACTATTTTGATGTTTCCATTTATCACCTCCTTGGGAGGTGGCAGTGGAGCTGCGAGAGGGAATAGGAGTCTCAGGGAACTGAGCCCTGGGTACCCACCAAGTGGGAATGTAGCCGGGGAGACAGCCCAGGGAAGAAGTGGGAGTCATCACTCACCTCCCGGCAGTAATTCCGGCTCTGGACTGGTGTCACCTGTAGCCAGAGGGATTCCCTTGAGGAGTTCGCTGGTGACACATTTGTCTGTAAAAGGTAGTGTGGGGAGAAGGGAGTCAGGTGGGGAGGTGGAGCCTTTGGGATGATGCCCACCCACATCAGGAGCTGAGGAAGATGGTACCAAAGGTAGAGGCCTCAAGAAGTACCCTAGGATAGCCCTGGGGTACAAGGAGGTGGCTGCAGTAATCCTGGGCAGTGGCAAGGAGAGGAGTTTCCAGAACATCATAAAGGGGTCAGGCTGCTAGTAAATGGCAGGAGGCCGGCTATGACAACTTCCTCCCAGGAAACGGGGCGCAGCTTGCGTGGTAGCATGGGAGGAAGAGGACTGGCCAAGGAGCATCTGGAACCCGTGACAGGCGTGAGTAAGGCGTGACCCGTGAGTAAGGCGCGGCGCGGAGTTTAGCCGCGACGGGGGATGAAAGGTTCAGAGGTACTACCAAGGCGGAGGGTTGGGGCAGGCAGCGGTGATCGGGCTGAGGACAGGCGGCGGCGACCTGGGACGACCAGGCATACTCACCGTCTTCTCCCTCCTCCTCCACCTGGTCGGCCCAGCTAGGCTTCGAACTGCCGGAACAAGTTTACCGGAGTAGAGAGGTTGATCAGTGAGTGCTGGCCCCGGAGCCTCGAGGCACCCAGGCCCCATAACACGCCCTAGAATTCCCAATCCACCTCCCGGGCCCCGCCCGTAGCGCCCCTACTCACTCAAAATCCCCGGTCGGCATTGCAGAAGCGTCTCCACGCAGTCCAAGCCGGGGCTAGCGACCGGAAGTACAGAGAAGAGAGACTTCCGGTACCGCCGCCTAGCGCAGCCCGATGGAAATGCCCACAGTGCCCCCAGCGGACAGAGGTGGAGGTGCCGTCAGTGTGCGCGGCTGGG